CTCTAAAGCCCTGTACGTCATTTTTAGCAATTATGCTTAAATGCACATGGATGACACAGTAAATTTTAAAATCATTCCTACCTTATCATTGAGCTCGTGCTCACGAAGATGCTTCTGCAGCTTGCCTTCTTTACTGAAGATCTGGGAGCAGATTGTGCACTTCTTCTCCTTCGCTCCATCACTGAAACCTAAAAACAAAAAAGGCAAGACATGAGTCTTAAAGTGGTTCAAAAGCGTTTGTGCAGTGGTGGATCCTACAGCAGTCGCTGACAAAGTGTACAAAATGCCTCTAGTTTAACAACATTTAAACACATTTTTTATTTGGCAATGTCAAACTTTTCAAGAGCTAAATTAAAAATTTTTATGTTTCCAAATTTTATTTTCCTTTCTGGAAAGCAGATAATAATATTTTTGACTGTTTGTGTGCCAGTTTGTTACCAAAATACCTTATTGGACAAATTTTCCTGAAACTGTTATTGATGAATGTACATCTGCAGCTGACTGACTGACTCAAACCGAGTGACTTACAAAACATACAAAAATATCTTTTACTCAGTCAAACCAGAACATTTATGCGTTAGCTGAGCTTGATCGCTAACATATCCTGAGAGGCTAACTGATTCAGCTTAATCTTTAACATTTTGTCATTAACCACTGCGGTCAACTTTGCCTTTTAGCAAAATATCTCATGAAGTACTGGACAATATTAATAAAACTTTTGGGAATTAATTATTGGATGTACATTTACAACTAATTAACTTCTGTAGCCAAAACAATCTCAAGATGGCCGCCACAAATAACTGACCTTGGAAAACACAAATGAGGCTATAATTCAGTCAGTTCTATAATAAAACTTGATGTGGTTGTTTATGAGTTACAACAGATACTCAAACTCAGACATTTGCTTAAATGTCTAGCATTAACTGCTGGAGTCAACCCTGTCTTTCTGTTACCAAAGTATCTCTTGAACCACAGAACACATTTTTATGAAACTTCCAAAGAAAAATCATCGGATGTAGCCTACATCTGCAACTGATTAACTTTTAAACTGAATCCACTTCAGAAAAGCCACCACAGCTAGTCGACATTAGCCTCCACAAAAATAGATAAAACTCTGTCGGCTTTACAGATACCGAGCTGAACACGACATCTCACAATATCATGAGATTGTGCACTATATATTTAAGGTTTGACCGAAACAGCTACAACTTCAAAAATGTCTCAACATTAAATGATCGAAATTTAAAATTCTGGTATGAACAACAAATAAATTAATTAATAAATAAATAAAAATAAATTTAAAAAACTGCTAAATTTAACACTTTAATTTATATGTTTTTTCTCATTTGGCTTGAGGTCTAAAATTACAGAAGAGGCTAAGGGCCACTGGAAAAAAATAATCTGACTTTTTTCATAGATTCTGAGAATAAAGTCAGATTTTTTGTCCTTTTACAGTGGCCCTAATCCTTTTCCATAAAAACTGACAGAAATCACCCTTTAAAGAAATGTCATACAGCAAGACAGCAACCTCAAAGTTAGTGATGGATGTACAATCAGAATAATAGTGACACTTCATTAAACATAGGGTTAGTTTGAAAAGATTTGGCTTAACTGAGCAAATTATTTTTGAAATATTCTAATTTGTTCTCACCTTTTAAAGCGAGGGATAGGGAATAGTCGTCTTTTTAATTTTTATTTTCTTCAAACTACTTTTTTAAAACTTTTTTATACAGATCTGTAAACTACTAAAATAAAATTTTAGGTTTTTCAACGTGTGTAAAGAAAAATTGGCTCTCAATAAAATTTGTGTTCACAAAAATTTCCAAATAGTGTTGAAATTCGTTTTCTAAAGGCGAACCTTAATCCCTGATTTGCTTACTTACAAACGTTTGTGTATATACGTTTTGTGTATATACGTTTTGTGTGTTTACGTCATATTTTAAATGATGAGGGAAGAACGGAGCGTGGAATGGGCACAGATCCATGCAGCTTCTTACAGTACTGCATGCTGTGAGCTGAGCTGAAAGGCAAACATGTTTGTTTACCTGTCAGTGTGCTCCCACCCTCACCTTTGGGCAGTGACAGGAAGAACAGAAATGTGGATAAATGAGGTCACAGTTGGTTTTATCCACAGGGCAGCTGGCTGTCCATTAGAGACAGGGAGAGAGGCTCAGTTATGTGGGAGAGCCACTGCTCCTCCACACTGAGAGGGACTACTGGAGGTGGTTCAGGCATCTGGTATAAATGTCCCCTACATACATGTCAGGGGAAGACCCCAGGAAAGACTCAGGACACTCTGGACAGACCACCGTATGTCTCTGTGACTTGGTAATAATGTGTTGAATCCCTCCAGAAGAGCTGCATGAGGTGGCTGTGGACAGAGATGTCCTCACAACTCTGGGACAAGCAGCAGATTGATTTTACAGCAGTCACAATTGTGGAAAGCTTTCAGACGCCAACAGATTAGAAGAGGAAATTATTCATTTATTCTTATAAACGGGATTGTTACTTCTGCTTCAACAACAAACGCCTGGCAATGGTGCACCTTTTAATTTAAAAAGGCAAAACGTTTCATGTAGCTATAATGTGTTTGTGTGACGATAAAGGCTGTATTTTCCCTTGAGACAGCAGATCAACTGGTTCTGCCTCAGATCCGCCCGCACCTGACTGACAAAACTTTCACGATGCAGCTTCTCTGGACCAAAATAAAAGGCAAACAATTTAGCGTGCTAACCAGCTAGCGGTGGTAAAACCCAGCTAGTTAGCAACAACAAGCTAACAGTGAATTACTAATAAACACATGATACCTCTAAAAACGCGAACATTTACTAACGCTACGCGACAACACAGCTCCTCTCGTCGCGGACACTAATTTAGACTGGAAGCCAATAAGAAGAGCCACCGAAACCTTATTAATATCATTCCGCCTCAATCACTCCCTCGCCGTACAAAGCAAAGCCCACCCGCAATACTATATCCGGGGACTATATGCGCTGCATTCAAGTGTTGTTATATTGGCTGCGGGAATGCTTCACTAAATAACATCATGCTTTTTGGATAGCCCATATTCTGTACTATTTATTTATTGCATTTTGGTACTTGTTTACCTGGCTTGTCCTCCCTGTCTAGGTTCAGTTTGCGAGGCCGGCCCCGCGGCATAGTTCCTGTACTCAAAACGGGTGTGCTGTGAACGGTTTGCTTTTCAAAATGGCGGCTGGGTCCATGAAGACAGCAGGGAGTCAGCTGTATGGACTACAGAGACATCTACCGTCTGACGGATGACACACTTCAGGTTCACTTTGGAAGAAAAAACAAAACAAAACTTTACCATGTAAATACAATTGTAAAAAAGTAGTAAGGAGTGACTATGTTAAAAACAAATTAATAATAATAATAATAATAATAATAATAATAATAATAAAGTAAGAAGCAGATAATCTGTTTTTATTCTTACAGAAAAGTAATGGGACAAACTTACATTTACTTTAAAATGATAATCAATTTAAAAGTTATTACAATAATTAAATTCTAATCACAAAGCTAATATTACTTATAGGAATCAAAAAGAAAAAAATTGTATAGGTCTTCTGGACAGGTTCTTCTCTAATGAAACGTTTCGTCTCTTCTCCAAGAGACTTCTTCAGTCTGAGAGTTTCAGGCAAAATTCAGGCTTTTAAGCACAGCCTCCATGTGACTGATACTCACATCACATGGCTATCGTTGACACCTAATTAACACCTATTGTTAACAGGGGGTGGAGTGATACTGGCAATAGCAGCACTGTAGGAGGGGGACGACTGAAAACGGAGGCCTCTACCTCTGTTTAATGATGGAYGGTCTTTCTTCACAAAAATGGCTTCTTTTACTCCTCTCTCAAACCAACGTTCCTCTCTATCAAGAATGAGAACATCCTCATCTCTGAAAGAGTGACCGTTGGCCTGTAAATGAGTGAAAACTGCAGAGTTCTGGCCATTAGATGTAGCTCGTCTGTGTTGGGGCATTCTTTTGAACAGTGGTTGCTTTGTTTCCCTGATGTATAACTGGTCGCAGTCCTCCTGGCACTTAACAGCATATACAACATTGCTCTGTTTGTGCCGGGGCACCGGATCTTTGGGGTGAACCAGCCTTTGCCGTAATGTGTTTTGGGGTTTGAAAGCCACTGGGACATCATGTTTAGAAAATAAACRTCTCAGTTTCTCCGAAACACCCGCAACATACAGAATAACCACTGGTTTGGGTCTGGGTTTGGGGTCTTCATTTTCACCTGAAGGTTGCATGGAATCCTGTCTGTGTTTCCTGTCTGCTTTCAGGAAAGCCCAGTCAGGATAACCACACTGCTCCAGGGCCTGTCGTGTGTGTGATTTCTCTTTCTGCCTGGCTCCTGGGTTTGTASGGACACTGTCTGCTCTGTGGTACAGAGTCCTGATCACTCCTAACTTGTGTTCCAGTGGGTGGTGGGAGTCAAAACGCAAATATTGGTCTGTGTGGGTGGGCTTACGATATACGCCACTTTCCAACTGTCCTCCATCCGAAACCGAGACAATTTTTTTCTTTTTGATTTTTTACCTGGATTACTGAGATGCATCAGGATACTTATAGGAATATTCAATACATCTTAATTTAAACATTTATTATTGGAACATTTTTGGATAATATGATATTTATAAAACATTTAAATTATATGAACAGTTTGAGCTGTTGCTGTTTACACTTTAACTTATAAAATTTAATTTCAATTACAATATATTTTATAGCACTTTATACTACTTTACAGTACTTACAGCAGTTTATATTACTTTACAGCATTTTTTACTACTTTACAGTACTTTATATTTTATAGCACTTTATACTACTTTACAGTACTTACAGCAGTTTATATTACTTTACAGCATTTTTTACTACTTTACAGTACTTTATATTTTATAGCACTTTATCGAGTCTTTACGAGCTCCAAAGTACTTTACACTTCAGTCATTCACACACTGATGGTGGTGAGCTATATTGTAGCCACAGCTGTCCTGGGGCACTCTGACAGAGGTGGAGCTGCCATGCACCGGTGCCGCCCACCCTCTGACCACCACCACCAGTTAAGTTGGGTGAAGGGTTTTGCCCAAGGACACAACAACATCTAAGATGAATGGATTGGGGGGATTGAACCAGTAACCCACTAACAGGACAACTCCCCTAACCACTCTGCCACAGTAGGCTTAAAATACATGTGTTTTAGCTCATAATGAGTGCCATAAATTGATCTACAGTGAAACTTTTGAGATTATTTAGATGGTCGTCAGTGCCCAATGACACCAGCAGAGGGCAGCAGAGGGAGGCAATGGGTCATGAATGGTGTGGCTGGCATCATGGCGATGGCAGCAAACTTGACTATGCTACTTTTCATTACTCCTTAAAGCAGTGACTCTCAATCCTGGTCCTCAGAGACCCCCTATCCTTCATGTTTTAGTTGTTCCCCTGCTTTGGCACACCTGATTTAAATGATTGGCAGCTTCCACAGAACCTAAAGACTTACTGAAGAGCAGGAAAACAACTCAAACATGCAGGATAGGGGGTCCTCGAGGACCAGGACAGAGAAACGCTGCCTTAAAGAACAGGGTGTGTATAACTCTGTATCAGTCCATTCTGTGAATGTCTGTGACTGAAGACTACCCTAGGGGCGCGGTCTGTGGGACAAGTTCTTATTTATTTTGTCAAAACAAAGAAAACTCATGAAAATAAAGAATACAAGCCAAAAGACCCCCATCCACCACCCCACCCCCGCTGACATGTGGACCACTACTGTGAGCATGTCTATACAAACTCCACATCAGAGTGATAGAAATTTAACATAAGCTAGTTAATGTAACATGCTTCAGGATAACAAACTGCAGATGATGTTAAAGAAATCTGATTTGCTGGTCTTTGTCAGTCACATGGGGCTGCTGTGGGAGCAGCTCTTTCATCGGGCTTTCACAATGACAGGAAGTCAAGAACATTTATTTTCATGCATATAAATAGACACTGCAGCGTTTGGAACTAGAACTTTGTATGGAACTGACAGAAGAACGTACCGAATCCTAACAGAAATAAACTGGAATAAAGCGAAGTGATTTTGCAAACTTGTGAGACAAATATAGTCTTTTGTATGATTTCAGATGTTTTAATGAGTTTTATGAAATGTTTTCAAAACATTCATCCATCCATCAAACTGTACAACCAAAATAACCGAACACCTTTGGAACTAATCGAGTTAGGCAGGAAGGAAAAATGAAAAGTAAGGTATTTATAGTTATACCTCAGTATAATGAGTGAATGTATGAGACAAACATGTGCATAATAAATCACAGTTAACTGGAGAAACTAAAGCAGTGTGAATGCTGAGTGCCTAATCAGCAGACTAAAAGAAACAAAAAGCTCGTTAAAATCCAAAGTAGCAAAATGTTCACTAAAAATAAAACTTTTAGCTTTAAGCTAAAAGCACAATGATGACTATAAGCTAAAACAATACAACTAGAAACAACGAGTTAAAAATGAGTTAAAATGAGTTAAAAAATTAAAAAAAACTACAAGTTCAAAGTAAGCTAATGGCTAGCTAAAGTTTATAAAAGACTAACTAAAAGTAGTGGATGTAGGGAAAAGCTAAATGTAGCCAAAGCACATTAAAAATAAAGAAATAGCTTAAATAAAGTATGCTAAAACCGAATTTTATTAAAACTGTTTTTGAAGGAACTGAGGATATCCATTTTATTTTTGATAGTAGGCTATACTGTCTGCAGCATTAGGCTGCTATTTAACTGTCTTTAGGGATAAAACATAATGTTCATTCAATATTAACTGTCTTTAGGGATAAAACATAATGTTCATTCAATAGTTTATTCACTCACTCAGTGCTTTTTTACATCTATCTATACTTTTGCCGGTTTTAAACTTTTTCTGCTATCATTTTTTATCATTTAGCTTTCTTATTGCTACTCTTCATTATTTTTTAGCTTTAATTTTTCTTTATTTAGTTAGCCTTTTGCTACTTTTAGCATATATTTTAGCTTAGCCTTTTCACACTTGGCATGACTGGTTTTGACATTTTTTTTTTTACAAATTTAGGTAGCATTTAGTCACTTGCACTTTGTGTTTTGCTACAGTGTTTTGTCATTTTTGGTGTTCAGCTTGTGTTTTCATCCTTTAGGCTTTTTACTGATGTTTTGCTTGTTTTAGTTTCAGCTTCTTTAGCAGATTTTGGCTATCATTCAGCTCTTAGCATACTGTAATTGACTTTATTGTCATAAAACCACACAAGCACATTCATTCAACAAATGATCCTGGCTGTAAATAGGTCAGGCTGAATATGTGTGTATTCCTGGGCATAAATCAAAGTAAAGTCTGATTACGTCAGCATTCTTCTCTCTGATGTGTAGGCCTACAGGTGGAAACGCCACAGCTCTGCTTTATATTTTTCTTTGTTTCCAAACCAGCAAAGTCCGACGCCTCATGTTTAGTTAATAGGAAGTTAAATGAGTGCATATTCAGTTTGTAGAGCATCTGTTCAGCTGGCAGATATTTAATGTGTTTTTCTCTGCGGCTGAACTGGTCACTGATCTCACCACTGAAAACAAAGAGGTGGACATCCTTCTGACCTTGTGGGATTGTTCACACCCCCTCGTTCCTCCTTTTCCCTTTTCTTTGCTCTGCGGTGTTCTCTCTTCCCTCTCACCACAGTCAAGAGGAGAGAGATCAATCATTAAAATTGTCATGAGCTCTGGGAGTGGGATTGCCAGTGAGCCCGCCTCTCAGGGAGACATGCTGAACTCGTGTGGAGGGGGCGACACACTGAGGGAGAATGTCGTTGTAGCGATCCGCCTCTTGCCTTGTCACTCATGCTAACGAGCCACACCAGCAACGCTGACATCAATGATACTGGCTGCGCTTTTCCACAGACAACACGAGACGTGAGTCAGACTTGGAAATGGGCTGCCTGTTTGCAGCACTTTGCAGATGAGGTATCCTGCGAGAAACTGTTGCCCAATTAAACATTTATCTCTTGATTTCTGAGTAGCAGGTAGCATCATCAGTGACATCAGACTGTTTAACAAAACACCACTTGTCTGAATGGTGTCCTACCTGAATCCCAGTATTCCTTGAAGGAATGTTTGTCGCCCCCCACCTTCCATGCCAGAGTTTTAAACTAAGATAATCTGAACTTGAGAAATGACAAAGTTGGAGCTGGTTTGTGACCCATCACATTGAACCAAGGATTAGGTGTTAAATGTGGAAAAATAGACAGATGTTGGTTAAAACGTTTGCAGTAATTGCATTTTGTTAAAATATAATGAATAAATGCCTTATCAATCATTTGAATGAACGGTCTGAAATATTATCTTTAAAAAATTTAAAACACTTGTTTGAGCAGTAGCAACAAAACTGATTTTGAGCAACAACACCTTACATTTTTAGATTTTCACAGAACTAGCAAAGCTTTGTTTCTTTGCAGCTGAAAAACCTTAAAGGGCCAATATCATGTAAAATCAACTTTTTTGAGTTTTATATCATGTTATGATCAAAAAGAAAAAAATTGTATAGGTCTTCTGGTCGGGTTCTTCTCTAATGAAACGTTTCATCTCTTCTCCAAGAGACTTCTTCAGTCTGAGAGTTTCAGGCAAAATTCAGGCTTTTAAGCACTGCCTCCATGTGACTGATACTCACATCACATGGCTATCGTTGACACCTAATTAACACTTATTGTTAACAGGGGGTGGAGTGATACTGGCAATGGCCGCGCTGTAGGAGGGGGACAACTGAAAACGGAGGCCTCCGCCTCTGTTTAATGATGGACGGTCTTTCTTCACAAAAATGGCTTCTTTTACTTCTCTCTCAAACCAACGTTCCTCTCTATCAAGAATGAGAACATCCTCATCTCTGAAAGAGTGACCGCTGGCCTGTAAATGAGTGAAAACTGCAGAGTTCTGGCCATTAGATGTAGCTCGTCTGTGTTGGGACATTCTTTTGAACAGTGGCTGAACAGTGCCGGTGCCCCGGCACAAACAGAGCAATGTTGTATTTGCTGTTAAGTGCCAGGAGGACTGCGACCAGTTATACATCGGGGAAACAAAGCAGCCACTGTTCAAAAGAATGTCCCAACACAGACGAGCTACATCTAATGGCCAGAACTCTGCAGTTTTCACTCATTTACAGGCCAGCGGTCACTCTTTCAGAGATGAGGATGTTCTCATTCTTGATAGAGAGGAACGTTGGTTTGAGAGAGGAGTAAAAGAAGCCATTTTTGTGAAGAAAGACCGTCCATCATTAAACAGAGGTGGAGGCCTCCGTTTTCAGTTGTCTCCCTCCTACAGCGCGGCCATTGCCAGTATCACTCCACCCCCTGTTAACAATAAGTGTTAGTTAGGTGTCAATGATAGCCATGTGATGTGAGTATCAGTCACATGGAGCCAGTGCTTAAAAGCCTGAATTTTGCCTGAAACTCTCAGACTGAAGAAGTCTCTTGGAGGAGAGACGAAATGTTTCTTTAGAGAAGAACCCATCCAGAAGACCTATACAATTTTTTTCTTTTTGATTTTTTACCTGGATTACTGAGATGCATCAGGACATCATGTTATGATATCATCTCATCAAAAACATGCCCAGAGTCTTGCTTTGACTCATTCACTCATTTAAACATATAAACAACTTTTAATAACAACTGAAGGTGACATAGTTACTTTTATTATGATATAGAATTTAAATGTATGCCTGAGAAACACATAATTTTGCCCCTAGGGGTGCAACAATACATCTGTATCAAACCGTTCAACACACAATATGTATTGCAAAATACAGATTGTTAAATTTTATTTTATCAACTTGTGTTCTGAAGGTGTTCTGTTTAGAAGGATCAGTGGATCTGTGTTCAACTACTCCACCTAGTCTGCATTGTTGAGCGCAGATCCACAGAAACTTGCTGTTTCTGCAACATTTAATTTAAAAATGGTACTCTTAAGGTTAAACAAATGTATAATTATTCATTTTAATAATTACAAATTAAGAAGGGCATGGATATTTTTCTTTTTTGTAACGAAAAAATATTCAACCGTGAGACTAAAGTATCAAACGAAATGGTGAATTTTCTGTATCATTGCACCCCTACTTAATATCCAAATATTGTTTGAGGTTTCCTCTTTAAAATGACTCTAAAAATTCTTCTATAAAATAACCTAAAAGTAGGATTCAGACCAAATATTTAAGTATTATTAGACAAATCAGGACATTTCTCTGGAAATCTCAGGATGATCCAGGAATCAACACCTTGAAGTGATCCACGATTAGTTTAGAATTCATTTCATAAACATTTATTTTAACTGTAAAATAAAGACTAAAAATACTGTAGGCTGTTTAGTTTTTATAATATTTTAACTAAAATTTAAAAAATATATGACATGGATGGAGCCATTTTATTTACATGCAAAGCACACTGGGTAAATTATGACGTCAACTAGGTCATCGGCAAGGCTGCAAGCCAGCTATATCCACCCTGAAGGTTAATCTTGGACAATATCTGA